TCTCTCTCCCTCTCTCCCTCTCTGTCTGTCTGTCTGTCTGTCTGTCTGCCTGCCTATCTGTCTGTCTGTCTGTCTGTCTGTTTGAACCTCCTCTTACATCCCTTGTCTCCTCCTCACCCCCAGTGTTTTTTTCTCTGGTGGAAAGGGGGTGGGGTGGGGGGGGATGAGCAAATGATAATTGTTAAGCCATGAAAGTGTTTTCAAATTTCCATTTATACATATATATATATATATAGATCTATATATAATAATAATAATATTTCTTTTATAAAATAGCGCACCGGCGTCATTGGAGTATCGATAAGGCGCTTCGCTGTCGCTCGCAGGGTACCCCGTTTGATTTCCGAGTGGAAAGAATTTTCTAATGGAATAACTCGGTCTTTTTACTTTCTGTTAGGATGTATCCCTAGGCCCTTTTAGCCAGAGTTGGACCTGACAGGCAGGGTAGAAAACCTGCCTCCTAAATTATCTAAATAGTGTTAGTGGGGACCTAGAAACGTCTGCGTTATATTTGTTTAAAGTCAAAATACCGCCCAAAGTGAGGGACTTGAACCAGTTGACGCGCAGAACTTAGTTCTAATTTTTACGATATCGCGGGGAAGAATTTTCTCTGTGTTACTTTCGTTTAATCAAATGTGAAGCATCGTGGTGAAATCAGGTGCTCGTCAAAAAATACAAACGAAGAAACCGACATTTTCCCGCCTGTTTTGGCAAACTTACTGGGAAACGTTGATAATAGGTGCAAAACATGTACATTTGCAGTTTTCAAGGACACTCAAATTTTGGAAGTCACCAAACTTTGGAGGCTATTTTCTCGCTTACTTTACCTGTAAAACCAGATGCCCCTACCCCCCAAAAACCCCCTTCAATATCTGGATCTCCACTTAAGATAAATAGGCAATGTTTTCATCTAAAGCAAGACGAATGGACACGCTTTAAGATGATACCAACAACATCACATGTCCCAAAATTGACGAGCGCCTGTTTCCACCGCGATGTGACACAAATCACGACCGTAGAATTACAAAGTTCTATCTGCTCAGTATCTAGTTTTGAGAAAGTTGACGTTGAAAAATTTGAATTTCGTAATATGTCAAGCTTTTTCGACTGCCATTCTTTGAATATCTTGATAACGGCTCTGAATAATCTTACGATTTTGATAGAGCAGATAGAAAATTTGGTTCGTGACCCTATTGTCTTAATAACTCAAAACTGCCAAAAATGTCAGATAGGTAGCGAAACGTTGAGGACGCTGTTTAAACAAGCGTAGTTTATGGATTCACCGCTAAAAGTACATCAGAGAGCGTTACCCGAAGAGAAACTCAAAGCTCCAACGTTGGCACGCCGGGAATTCTGTTATCTCTTGCTTTGTAGTTGTAGACAGCTACACAAACAAGACCCTCTTGAAACGAATTTCAGTGTTATTGACATACTTTGGCCCTTATTAACTCTGAAGTGTCTCGACTTTGGAATACTTTACCAATGGAGTGTCTCTATAATAAAGATGATGATAATAATAATTTTAAAAAACATTTTTCAGATCAAATATACATGATAAAAAATTCAAATGCCACTTAGAAAGCCTAAATTACACTTAAGAAGAGGGGAGGCTGTACCCCCAAAGTCAAGATTCGGCTCAAAATTATGGAATTTGAGTTGCAGGCATTTTTAACCTCCTCAGCCTCTCCTACAACTATTTCATCCACAAGAACCCACACAAAGCGTATTTTCGGGTATGTTTGTCACCACCGTTTCTTCATAAAGTCAATATTTTATTTTTCTTTGTTGGCCGTTTTTCAAAACTCGACTTTGATCTAGACTTTTTAAAATAACTCCACCATTTTTCAGCCAATCTTCACGAAATTTTTCACTGAATGAAGAGAAGATGTAATACTAAAAATGTGCTTGTTGAATTTTTGATATATATGGAATAGACTTTTGTTGATGGTGTCTGGAGTGTAGATTTTCATGGAGTTTTTGCAAACTTGAATACTACCTCAGGAAAAAATTCATTAAAAATGTTCTAATTCGTTTAGGAAAAAAAAACAACAGTCACATTTTTAGATGTAATGTTTGTTGACACGCATGCAAATAACAATCAATTTCCATTTGCAATAAGTGCGGTATTCGTTACGTACGAAATGTCAACCAAATCCAATATGGCCGCCGTATCCATAGAAACGAAACTTTTTTCAGAAGTTTGACTGCGGATTTTAAGACTCATTACTATGCTTGTTATAAATGTGAAATTTGGTAAAATTTGGTTCCGTCATAAGTGAGATAGCCTTAGCCCCCACCC